CCCCGGGGGACAGTGTTGTGAGTGTTCTGGATATCCCCGCAAGAAGGCTCCATGGTCCACAGTGTGGAAACCATTGCTCTGAGCCCTATTCATATTTCCCTTCCCTCTTTACAGCATCCCTCTGTTATCCCCTCACAATAAAAACTTGGCAGGAATAATTACTTGCTTCTTTGCCTTCTATTTCTTTGACTCTAACAATCTTTTTATGCCACTTCACCTCTTCTCCCTGTACAAGAGTTTCTGGTCCTGTCTATAAAGCATTTTTGATGCTATAATCATCAGTAGCTCTGGATTTAAAAATACTACTACTACTAAAATAACTGCACTGGATTGAGATTAAAGCCTGAGCCCTTACAATGGTACTTCTAGCAATAAGATCCCGAATTTTATATTGCTAAATCTTTGCAGGAAAGTTAAGATAAAGGGGCTAATTTGGCTGTGAGATGCATATACGTACATTCCTGAGTGATGGAGGAAGTAGAGTAGAGTGAAATTATTCCACCTTAGTACTGGCTCTCTCAAAACTCACAGTGGATTGTTCCCCACGTTGTCCTTACATGGTGCTGTAGCGACATTTCAAGGTGAAGACTAATTGTAAGTGGGTGTAGTTAATGTATTTTAGGACATTTGTGCCCAGCCTCATCCCTTCCCCTCTAAAATAGATTACTCCTGCTGTAACATATATCTGCACATAAGGATGAGTGTGAGGCAGAAGCTGGGCAGAAATTGAACACACTGTAACAGTGCTTTTGATGTGTTAATGTGCACCTGTTTTCTGGCCAAATGCAGAGTGTGCCAAAACCTGGCTCCAAAAAACTTTTTAAAAAAATCTTTATTAAGTAAAAGAAAAAAAGAGAACTGTCCCACCCCCCTCTTAGTTAGTCTCTCTCTCTCTTTTTTTTTAAAGCATAATATATGCAGTGTTCTGAGCAAAACACATAGTACAGAGTAGGTTAAATCTTGCACTTTATAACTTACTTGCTTGAATACAAAGGTAAAAGTCCTGTTGCACCTTTTCAGTATTTAAAGCACAATCATGGAACTGTCACAAAAGCAGTAAAATTAGATAAACACAAAATTACATATACTAATGCTAGAATGTCTCACCACACCATTTATATTTCTAAGGACAGAACAAGTGTAACTGCTTCAGAAGATGAGTCATCTATGCAAAACACAGCAGCCTGAAATAGATGAGACAAGTGTGTGATACATTATGAATACTGTATGAGGTCCTTGAGTCTTCCCATGTGGCGAATTCCTTTGGAGACCTGCCTTCTTTACAGTACAATCTCCTATCCTTCAGCACTGAAGAGCTGACAACTGTTTTTCAACAAAAAAGGAGATTTTATAAAAATTCGACATTACTTCTGATTTACAGTGGTTTAAGTAGGATTAGAGTCAGGCCCATGTCTTTTTCTTATGTGAAGAAAAGCAATTTCTGAAAACAACCTGTGGTAGATGAGAAATGGTGCATCTAAAGCAAAAATAAAAACAGATGTAAATGTAGACCTAAAGCATACACTCCCTTCCACAGAATAATCTAATGAGAAATAATTTTGCTTAGTATCTCTGCAAAGCTCACCCCACAAAGTTGCCAAGTCATCCCTTAAAGGGTTTTAGGGCCCATTTTCTATAGTGATGCCCCATAAACTGTAGGAAATCCTAGAGATCTCAGTGCATCCAACTTTGACAGCCTCCTTCCTGGCAGCACAACCTCCTTAGTAGCCTCCTTAGTACACTAGGTAGGATGTCCCAGTTTACCATAATTGTCTGAAGAGCAGGGCTGTCCTTACCCATATGCAAAATACGCAGCTGCGTAAGGCACCAGGAAATTCGGGGCACCAAATTGCCCCAAATTTCCTGGTGCCCTACGCAGTTGCGTGCTGCTCCAGCGGCCAGCCTGATCCCCCAGCTGTCTGAGCCGGCCAGGAAAGCTGCCCCCGCTCCCACCCCGTGCCCACTCCACCCCTTCCCCATAGCCCCCACCCCTGCTTTGCCACCGCTCCACCTCTTTCCACCCCAGCCCCGCCCCAGCCTCGGCCCCACTCCACCCCTCCCCCATAGCCTCGCTCCTTCTCTGCCCCAGCCTCGCCCCCACTCCACCCCTTCCCCTGAGCTACGTTCCGGGGGACTGCAGCAGGGGTCGGACGTGCCCTGCATTCACCGGGCAGCAGGAAGTGGAGTGACCCAGCCCGAGCCCGCTCCACTCCGCCGGTGAATGCTGGGGGGGGGGTGGTTTCCCCATGCCCCCCAAGTCTGGGAATCAGGGGAGCAGAGTGGAGCAGGCTGGGTGTGGGTCGCTCCACTTCCTGCCACCCCATGAGTGCAGGGTCGGGCCTGCCCTGCAATCACCAGGTGGCAGGAAGTGGAGTGACCCAGCCCCAACTCGCTCCGCTCTGCCAGCTTGTGCTGAGGGGTGGTTTCTTCCCTACCCCCCAAGCCTGCTCCTGCCCCCCCACAGACCTTGGGCGCAGCCCCCCCCCCCCCCCCGTGGGGGCGGGGAGGGCTGCATAGGGCACCACAATGTCTAGGGATGGCCCTGCTGAAGAGCAAGGCTTTTATAAAGACAAATCATACTTCACTGATTTATTAGAATTCTTTGAGGGGGTCAAAGAAACATGAGGACAAGGATGCTCCAATGGATATAGTATACTTGGACTTTAAGAAAGCCTTTGACAAAGTCCCTCACCAAAGGCTCTTAAGCAAACCAAGCAATCTCTTAGGGAGCCCAATTCACCAAGGGTATGTCTACACTGCAACTAAAGACCTGTGGGATGACCTTGGCTGGCCTGGGTCAGCTGACTGGGACTCAGGCCATGGGGTTAAAAATGCAATGTAAATGTTCAGGCTTGGGCTGGATCCCTGGCTCTGAGATCCCGTGTGGGGAGAGGGTCTCCAAACCTTGGCTCCAGTCTTAGCCAGAATGTCTACACTGCTATTTTTAGCCCTGCAGCCTGTGCCCTGAGATCAATTTACCTGGGCTCTGACACTTGGTGCTGTGGGTTTTTTATTGCAAGGTAGATATACTCTCAGTGTTTTGGGGTTGTAGACCAGGATCTTGAACTGGAGGCTACTAGAGACTTCTCCTTCTCCTTTAAATTTTCATGACAAACCACTAGTCCTAACAATAATAGATCGAAATAGTCTGCAGGGGTATATATATCCCATCAATTCAACATTGATATAAATTGTTTCTTTTACAAAGGACAAATCAAGAAATCTTTTAAGAAAGTCTTTGATTGCTAGTTCATTTGTAAACGCAGCACACAGTACCATCAGCGGAAAGACTGTTCATGCTGATGATTGGCAAAGAAGTTTCCTTATTAATAGATTTTGTTGATTTTTTTTCTCTCCATTATACTTCCTTGCCATCAGGTAAGAAAGTAGATATTTTTCATTAAAAGAATGAACCACTTAGAGACAAACATAAAAATATAGATCACATATGTGAAAAGAGATGCAGCTGAGAATGAAGTGCCTGTAATATTTCCTTCCTTAACTGATGTTTCTCATGAAGTCTGATGAATAACAGAAATTTGCTTGTTCCATGAATCATAAGCTATCATCAGTAGTTGTTTGGGGTATGACAGGGCTCAGTTGGCAGATGTTTAACAAGGGGATTACATCTTCCCATCCATCCTCTCTTTATAAAAGGCCTGATTCTAATTCTATTGAAGCAAATAAGAATTTTGTCACCAAGTACAGTGGGTGTGGGAGAAGGGGCAGGTTCATAGAGCCAAATCTTGCAGTCCTTACTCAGTCATTTGGGACTTTTGTCTGAGTGAAGATTTCAGGATATGGAACATAAATTATTTCTCATATTATACTTATGCCCCAACATTCAGTTTCATGTATTTTTCTATGCAACACCAACTTTGTCCAAAAACCACCCCAAAACAAAAACAAACAATTTGTTCAAAAATGTGCAAAAATGATATTTTTAGTGAAAATGGCCATTTATGCATACATATCAAAAAGCAACCAACCCTTTCAAACCCTACACATTTTAGAGAGGTCCTTTTCCATTCAGAATATTTTGAGCATAGTTAGTCCTGAGAATATTACAAGGTACTTGAGATTCACTCCCTGGATATCATAACAGAACTGGAACACATATGTGTTTTTAAAAGCTAATTTACTGATAAGCAGATCACAAATTTTAGATAGAGAAAATAAAACAAAATTCACAGACATATACACAAACACCAATTATTCCTTACACTTGACTTAGTTGTTGCATTTCAATGTGATCACCAGCCTTTCTACCATCTCATAATCAAAAGTCTGACTAATTGAAAATGTCACAATCTTATTTTTGATATAATTACAGCTGGGCAGGAAATGACTTTCCTGTCTCAAGAATTTTTGAAATTTAAATAGTTGTTCCAATCCTGAATCAGACCAAAAGGTTGAAATCTTGAAAACGTCCACAAACTGACAATCTGAAAAAGCTATCAGATTGGGTCAGTTGACACTTTTTGTTTTGATAATTTTGAAATGTTTTGTTTTGATTTTTGACCTTTTAACTCTTTTTTGTATAACTAAATGAACTTAAAATTCTAAATGAAAAGTAATTTCAAACCAAAATTTGAAACTTTTCCTTTAAAATGGGTAATTTTGATAATTTTGAAAAAAACCTATTTTTTTTTCAAATTAGGAGTTTTATCAATTTCCCACAAATAGTTCTGATGAACTGACATTTTTCACCAAAAAACATTTAGTTGGAAAATTCCCAACTAGCTCTAATGATAATCCAGAAAAATATTTATATGGTTATCTGGATAATACCTAAACTTAAATATACTGCAGCCTGGAGCTCTATTTTTTCATAGAGTGCCTGAACATCAACAAAAATCAAAACTTTGAATGGTGGAGTACTGCTTATGTCTGCATATTTACAACACTTCTAATTATAACTATATGGCATTTGCACTGCACTGACTTGCACATATTTTTCTAAATAATCCCATCACAAATGTTGTCCCATATATTTACAGGACTGTTTTAATTTCAGGTAGCAGAGAAGCAGCATTCACATATGCCATCATTGCCGCTGGAGTAGCACATGCGATCACTGCTGCCTGTACCCAGGGAAACCTAAGCGACTGTGGCTGTGATAAAGAAAAACAGGGACAGTACCATAAAGACGAAGGATGGAAATGGGGAGGCTGTTCTGCTGACATCAGATATGGAATAGGATTCGCCAAAGTGTTTGTGGATGCAAGGGAGATTAAACAGAATGCAAGGACTCTCATGAACTTGCACAACAACGAGGCGGGACGTAAGGTAGGTATCTCTCTGCTCTCCACCATCATATGACAATTCCTTGTCTAGAATCAGAGGTCTGATTACAACACAATGTTCAGAACTAAATGTGCTTTAATCATAGAATGTCAGGGTTAAAAGGGACCTCAGAAGGTCATCTAGTCCAACTCCCTGCTCAAAGCAGGACCAATCCCCAGACCGATTTTTGCCCCAGATTCCCTAAATGGCCTCCTTAAGGATTGAACTGACAATCCTGGGTTTAGCAGGCCAATACTCAAACCACTGAGCTATCCCTCCCATGGCTAATACCATTTTACAGTAGCCGAATAGTCACTTTTGTAAGCTACACAAACTTGTTGGACAATCCATCTGTCAAATATTTGTCTACATGTTACTCTTTCCAGTCATAAAACAGAAAATGCAAACAAACAGTTTAGCTGGGAAGTCAAATGGTGCTTAAGGTAGAAAGCTTGCCTGCTACTGTGTGGCTGAATCTGCTTCTCTTCAGGTTCAGACATGAACTTCTGATCATTCATTTGAAAAGGGATCACTTTCAACCCAACTGTCTAAACCTTGCTCTTTGTGTGGGGACTATAGCTAAAGGGAAAAAAAACTTGAGTGAAGTGGAACTAAGAGACCACAAACTGACTCATTTTAATACAACATAATATATACACACGTAAGGCAGGGTTATCATTTTAAATGGAGAGCTCCCCCACCATTCCTTAGAACCAGGCAGCTTAAAGCACATTCATGCAGAAACAGTGTTTGAACTCTTGTCTTCCTGGCAGCTTTAAACATGTACATTTTATGTGGAATCTACACAACAATTCTGGGAATCTTGACATCTCTTGGTTTTGCTTCCTTTGCAATATACAGTACTGCAGTATATTCAGATTTCCTATTGTTATGTGGCAAAGATGGAGGCCCTGGCACTCCTGTCCAGCAGAGCTGTGCTCAGCACAGGACTGGTGAAGAGGGCCACCAGTGTGCTCCTTAGATCCTCGTAAGCAGGTTTGGTCCCCAGGGTACACGAGAGCAGCCTTGGAGCACTCTAACTTGTGCTAGCTAGAAATTGCTCAATGTGGGTCTTTACACTAGCCAGTGGCACAAAGGGGCGAGGATCTCTGGCCCATAGGACATTACATTACTATGCGCGAGTGTGGCCCTACTCTGAAAAGCAACTATGTAAAAACACCTTCTTATTGAACAGATCTGCTCCCTGTGGGTTAGACGCCTCTCTGCTGACTTTAGTGGTCAGTGATATTTTTACTGCTTTTTTACTACTGTTAAGTATTACAGAGCAAGAGAGCTAAGGACAGAAAGCTGGATTCTGTTCCTTCAGGTGCATCATCAACAGAATGGTTCACCAAATAATGGCCTCAGTGACACCTGTGCAGCCCTATGGCCTTTGCTCGGCTTGCACGAATGGAACTCAGCAAACAGTTCTGTTATTGATATACAGTTACCTTCCAGAGTAGAAGGGCTCTTGAACATAGTAATTCACTGTCCTACAGCCCCATCTTGGCCCCTGCTCCAGCCCCTTGAGTTAAAATAATTCCCCATGCTTTCTTAGCTCTTTATTTCACTTTCTCCACTGTTGGCACTTCAATGGAATTTTTCAGCCAGCCCTTAAGTGGTGGCTTTGTCTTTGTTTTGGTGTGATTCAGCATGGATTTGAGTAGCTTGAAGTGGAAAGTGGATTGAAGACACTAATATTTCTGTTGCAGTAACAATAATTAGGGCTCTGAGAGATCACAAGACCACAGCATTTGGGCCTTGAAAAAGAATGACTGTTTCTGTCACAAGCAACAGCATAGCCTTCCTCAGACTTATTCCAGCTGAAAGCTAGAGAGGTTATTTTCTTTTTTCAGTGTTCCAAATGCCTGGGTCTGGCACTCCAGTGCAGAGATGATCTCTCAGAACACTAAGTTGTTACCACAACAGAAATATTAATGTTTCCTGAACTTATCTCAGAGAGTAACTGTTCAAAGAGCTTGATTTTAACAATCCCTGCACTAGGCTCCAATGCTCTGAGCCTCTTGGCTGCTAGGCTCCTTACAGCAGGTGAGTGAGCATAGCCTGTTTATATTCCACCAGCTTTTTTAACATGTAGGCAGGGCCGTAGCAACAAAGAATGTGGCCCCCTCCGAACGGTGGCCCCCTCCGAACATGTGTCTGGGCGGGGCCCCTTACAATGCAGAAACTGGAATGCGGTATTTATTTTGCCACTTTTAGGGGCCCCCTTCCTTGCAGGGCCCCCTCCGGTCGGAGGGTACGGAGGGCGCTCGCTACGCCTCTGCATGTAGGGTCACATTTACTCTGTTACACCAGTGTAACTCCACTGAAGTCAATGATAACAGAGGAAATTGGACCACTATATGTGGATTTCCACCTTTTTTGTTGTATCTTTCAAGAGCTGGTTCACGGAGAGGCTCATTTACACATAACTGGTGCAGCTCAGGGCTGTCAGAAGAAAAAAAAGCTTAAAATGGCTTACTGAAATCTGGCTGACTGTTAGCTTGTTTGGCACTGGGGATCCTTTTAGGAAAGCATCACTAGTGCACAGCTGAAGGATGGGGCAAAGCATCCCAAACATTGCATATTATAGTTACAGGGCCCAGGTTTTCAGAATTATATAGACAAAAATGTATTAGACATCTGGGTCCTGGGATGTGATTTTGGGCCCCACTATAGCCGTATGTATGTTGCTGTGGCAGAGTGCATGGGTTGTAGAAGTCCTGGAGCCAGCCAAGGCAGAGGCACAGTGTAACATGGCAGTCACGCCCTTGCCTCTTGTCTCGCTAGGCTGTGAGCTTTGTGTTGTGCCTCTGAGATGTGCAGCACACAATGTTCTTCCTGCCTTTACCACCAAAGTGCACACAATCACAATGATTGTATGTCTAATTGTGTGCACAGATTTGTGTGTCCTAAAAAACTGGAGCCTGGGAAGATTCACTGTGTTTGTGTTACTATCTGGAAGAGCTGTGGTGTGTGCTATGTTTGGCAAACTGCCATGTCTCCAGCAGGGTCAGAATCTATTCTGATATGGAGATATTTATATGCCTGTTACTGAAACCCTCAGAGTGCCAAACTACTGATCTTATTTGAAATCTTTAATGATCCAGTGGGGTGGAGAACAACACAAGCCTGGGAGGGTGTTATTGCATGTCCACAAACCAGTAGAGAATGAAGAGCTAATGACTGTGTTTAGTACAGAGATCAGGCTTTGCTACCATATACCCGTGAGGGATCACAATGTTTTCGTCACCTGTTCCATTCTACAGCAAGCACTAGTTGAGGGCTTGCATCAAAGTGGGAGAGATTGCTGATTTTAAATGCTGAACTTGGACACAGAAAAGACTGGCATGTTGTGTGTCAACAGGCAGCACTTGAGGAATATCTGAGATTCGTATATTTTTGGGGCTCTTTTTCCAAGAGATTCCAAATACTAGGAATAACCTGGTCTACTCTAGGAGACTTACCTACTGCTGACAATAGTTGTCAGCAATTGGTTCTCCAGAACAGCCTATTGACAACAGTTTAACTGCTAGTGCAGACAGGATAAGAGAGTTATCAGCTGGGTTTCAGCAAGCGTGATTGAGACCGATTAAGTAAGAAGAGTAACGAGAGAAGAACTTTAGTAACTATAGGTAGGTACTTCACGTGTAGTTGTTGATTTTTTCCATGCATTTTTTAGTTTATTCTGATTTTAATTTCTCAGCCTCCTTCTCCTGAGAGTGTCTCACTAGTGTAATAGCTAATGAACTCTGATGCCCATAAAGCAGTAACATTCAGACCCAGGATAATATAACGAGTGCCCCCATGTAGAATCAATCTGTACAATGTGTTCCTGGTCTCTAACCCCATCTATGCTAGGAAATAGACCCAGTACTGACAATGGTTGTCAGCAACTGGTCTCATGTATCTACAGTATGTACAAAGGTTTATCTGCTTGGGTGAAGGGATAAACAGTTTTCATCTGTATTTCTGCGTTTCCTTCTGACCTGTGCAAGCAGAAGTTCTCCCAATTTCTTCAATAGTTGCTCCTGTAGTGCAGTGCTGGAATTCCCAGAAACTCTTTTTAGGGTACATCTACACTGGAGCTGGAGGTATAATTCCCAGCTTGGGTAGACATACACATGCTAGCTTTGATCGAGCTAGCACTAAACATAGCAGCATAGCTGCAGTGGCACAAGTTAGCCACCCGAGTAAAATCCCCTCTAGGCCCTCCTAATTAAGTAATTGCAAACTAGCCCATGGCACCACCCAGGATACACTGCTATTTTTAGTGCACTAGCTCAATCAAAATTAGCACATGAACATCTACCCAAGATGGAAATTACAAATTACAATCCTGGAAGGGATTTTTGCATGAACCCTGAAAAATGTCCCAATCAATGTTAGAAGCCGTAGTTCATTTGTCTGGCATGTCTTGTCTCTGCTAAGATGGTTCCTGTAGCTCTCTCCCATATCTGAGACACGTCACATCAGGTGTCCCTTGCTTCAATGAATTAGTATGTTCTGAAATGCTGATTTACCACAGTGAGAAGCAAGCGGCATAGGAAGAATTGTAGGAGAATTCATAAGAGCTGTGTCAGAAAATGGAACTAAAGCTCCTATTAATTTGTAGTCATGATCCTACTACTGATCTGCTCTTAGAATTTCCACTAACTGCATGGGAATCCCATACATGGCACAACTGTGGGATTGAATCCTCAGTTAGCAAATTAGACTTCCCACAGACAGAGGTACTTAAATGATTGCAGGTAACTCCCACTGCTGAGAGGTAGTTATGGTCCAGGGGGAAAAATACATTTCTACCAGTATAACTGCTAAAATAGCAAAGTAGGTATGAAAGGGCCTAGAAATTTTGGTGATTTGACTGAAAGATTTTCATTCTGAGTCAGAGGCAAGGACATTATAAATTGCTCTCTCTCTCCCTCTCTCTCTGACATTGCAGTTCTGTGAATGACATCTTGCATCAGAGTTACATCATATTAAATATAACGCCACATTAT